CTACTTCATTGGAGCCTGTACTTTTCAAAGCTTTCGAAATTTAGTTACCTATATTTTGGTTTGGTTTCAATCTTAAGGCATGATAACATAAATACAAACATGGCAAGAAAGTTCCGGGAATACATACATATCTTGCAGGCAACAAAAATGTTAGATTTTTTTCGTAAATTATAGCGTATAATGCTTTGCGTATTCATCGGGTTTTTCACTGTTCAAAATTGCATTTCTTAAAGCCCTTTTTCCCTATATTGGTATGTCGCTTTTGGTAGAGTAGTTCGACCTAACACCAAACAAAGTAAAAATGGCTGAATAGACAACGTAAATAAATTACATAACAACGTTGTTAAGTACACAACGGCTTACCACCCGTCGTTGTAAACATAATGCGCCCATTACACAGCAGAAATTTGATAAACACAATTATATCATAAACTTGTATGTACATCTTTGATTAAAACCAACTACATTATTACATAATCATAACAATATCTTGAAGCGACGATGCAAATATCATACTTATTGACTGAGCATCTTTTGATTGATCACAGTAGTGGACAATTATTAATAACGGTAACTGTGAAGAAGAAAAACTGATTTTCCCACAAACTGTTTGCAGACAAACCGTTACTCAGTTTTAGTAGCTACAAAACAATACTTTCTTTTCTTATAATTATAATGAATTTGTAATCTGCATAAATTATCAATAAATCTGTATGCAATAAATCAAAATCAATTAGAAATGTGTTCGTAATTGTAAAGTGAATGTGTAAAATTGCAGATTTTGTAGGTGTGCACTGCAGAATGGAGTGAAAAACTCACAAATATATCTACATACATACAATAATTTGCATGTATTTATTTGTAAATTTGAGACTACCGCCTTAGCCGCTTAAGCAGTAGTGTATTGAGTTTTTACAACTTTGCATTTGTTGCGCTTGATTTAGCAGACTTGATGCGGAAAAGACAAAGGCATATTTAGAGGCAACACTTGAGTGATTTTTTTGAATTTCTTACTATAAGAAAATATTATGTAAACGATATTGAAATGTGTTAATAACTTTTGTTTTTAGTCGTTCTTAAAGAAACCTGTATTGCAGATATTTATGAGTCTTTCGATACTGGTGAGTATTGATTTCCCTTGAGTCATTCAGAAATACTCTTTGCGGTATCATAAAAAAATTATTAGTTTATTAATTTTCAATGAAGATGTCTTGATAATAATACAATAACATTACATTTAAATTTGGAAAATCTTCAGCCACTAATATTTTACTCATTATCCAGTATTTAAAGCAAACGAACTACGCACTGTGTTTAACTTCGTTAAGTATGTCTGAAAAATGCAGTTAAATTTGATTCAATACTGATCAAGCATTTATATACAATAAAAGTTTTGGCCTTAATAAAAGCTTTATGAGACTAAACTGAGGTCTATTGTGCCCTCCCCTCTGTCACACAGACTCACATAGGCCCAACACTTTGATGTATTCCAGGATGCTCCATGTCGCAAAACCGGTAGTTTTCATAAGAGGCTATACCCATGTTGAATAAGTGTTTGTTGAGTCTGCGATGCCTAGAAATAAATGCCATAAGCAGCCGGAACTTGTCTCAGGAAAGGTTTCTTATACTTTAGAACCTAGCGAGGTTGTAACCACCCATTAGCAACTTTGTTGTTACCAATATCCTGCCCACTCTCTCCTCCTTGCGGAGCAGCTGCTTTATTATATGGGGAATCCACGGGGATGCAGGGTTCCGGTCTTATCACCCAGACAGCAGCTGTAGAGCGGGCAAACTCGTCAGCCAGTTCGTTCACGATTCAAGGGACACTAACGAATATCCGTTAAAGTAAGTGTAAAACCATCTTTTTATCAGTGGTAGCTTAAAATCTGGTATATGATACTTTATTTAATATTTATATTGAATAAGTAGGTAATTAATTATTTTAAGGTTAATCTCACGACCAGTGAAAGCTGACTTGGTAAACTAAAGTCAAATAATGATATGAAGGTTTAGTAAATAAAAAAATTACCACACCAAGTCACATGATAACAGGAGAAATATCGATTAAGGATTGTCTTTTTCAGTCGCAAAGTCATTGCCTTCTTCAAATTGCTCTCACTTGGCTTCCATTTCTGTCACTAAACTTTTAATTAATATCGGCTTCCCGACCTTCACTTTAGACAGTAATTTATGTCATGTTTCGTGAAGATATTTATATATATTCTCAAATAAAAACGATTTTCAAACAAGGACTTCATCAACGACCGATATTGGCGGTTCCGACAAATGAGCAGAGTCGTGGAGAGAAAGGGACGTGTGCATAGTTTTAGGTCGAAATCTCAAAAACTGAGTGACTACTTCGGGCATGGCTAAATCGACTCAGCTTGTCACACTGATTATTTCTATATACATATAAAAGGGTCTTCGACGCTTCCTTCTGAGTGTAACAATCTTCATGGCAAGCTTCATATACCCTGTTAGGGGTTTGATTATAGTTTCACATTGTAGTTGTTTCGCCAACCCAAAAATGCGCTACTAACTTATATAAAGACGGACCATATATAAATTATTCATAAATTTGCATACAAAGTCATAAAAAGTATAACTAAAATCCAATTACCTTTGAAAATTATCATTTCACATATATTTTCACACCAAACTCACACTTTTCAAGTCTATGAACGAATGTCGTTCAACTATAGCTATTTACAAACATTGCCGGTACACACTTGGTTGATTTTCCTTGAGGGCACTTTAAGCGCTGAAAAGCCAAGTATTTCCGGTAGCTAAACAGACGTCGCTTTTACACTTCCAACAACTTGCGGTGGGCTAATGAGCACCTACAAGCGTCTGCGAACAGACACAAGATGCCGGTAATGCGCCATAAACTACCAAATACACAAACAACAAAAAACTGCACTTAAAATAAGCTACATTTAAATAAGTGCTTAGAGCCGTATATTTTCGACTTTTTAACGAGCTGACAACCTAACTTGCTAGTTAGATGGCTAGATGACTAGATGGGTAGATTGGAAGATGGCTGGCTGACGGCAGACATCAGTCAACAACCAAAACTCATAAATTTTCCAACATCGCCCAAAGCGATTTAACACTTTTGAATGTCGGTTGACAGTTGAAAACAACCTTCCAGCAAATACAGATTCATATACTACAAGCATACAATTACCAACAAAAATGCATATAAAAATTTATTATCATTATTTTTATTTTTATATGCAACAAAGTGTACAAAGTGCAGAGCTTATAGTCATAAAGTCGAATTTCTGAAAGTACCACACCAGTAAGAACGCGCACGCACACATTTGCAGCATAGCGTTTACACTTGTAAAATACATAAATATGTATGTGTGTAGGTAAATGAGCGCGTGCATACACTTGTTGCTTTGGCGCACCCTGTCACGTATGAACATGTGTGTATGTAAGTTTGTATATATAAATGGGGGCGTATGCGAGTATAAATAGTATGACGTTAAACCGCAATTGAAAGAGCTGGTGTCTTATGACAAACATGTGTCACGAATAATAATGAGTTAAATAAGAAAAAAACGATAGGAAAAGGTAAATGCAACAAAAAAACAACAAAAAAAAAGCGTCGCCACGTCGAATTGCTGGTGTGTATGCATAAAAATATTTCCAATAAGGAAGACACGGCCGCTAAAGAATTGCGAATATGTTTAAGACAAAAGTACATACATACAGATATATACACACAGTAACCCGTTAGTTGCTGCGATATTGCTGTCCGTATATATCCCTTTTGGGGATCATTGACACGGCACTATCACACAGCTATGTTGTTGCTGCTTTTTTAATCAAAACAAATCGAATACTTTTATGGAATTAATAAACGTAAATTTTCAATCGATTCTTTGTTAATAACACGCACATTGAACGCAAAGCGTAGAAGTGTATGTGCATTAATAAAAAACCACAAATAATTATGTTCTTGCCGAAATACCATCGATCGTGAGGATGATACAAAAGTATTACACTTCTGCTTATCCGCTTATATAAATCACACTCACATATAATACAAACTATGAAACATTTGAACATTCTACTCTATACTGCATAGCCGTCTATATCCATTTCGAATGTGTAAATAAGCAGTCTTCCCTCCTCATAGTCACCAAGTACGGTATCTAAAATTCAGATCTGCCATTGTTTTTGTTGTCATTAGGTTATATACAATCCATACTCTATCGTGGAAGTCCCGCAGCGAGGAACCAACTGAAATATACTTAGAGGCTCGTTAATACAATATATACGAGAATCTTCATCTCATACTCCGGAATTTTAGATTTTGTTGTTGTTATAGAAGCGGTAAAATTCTTTCCAACAAGTTTTGCAGCTCGTTGCAAAATTGACAACCCTAGGCCGGATATAAAACTGTGTCCGTTGCGTTTACATCTGATCGACCTTCAGAGATTTTTTAAGTATTTGTTTTATTCCTTGAGGAAGGACCTTGAACTGAATTCAAAACAGCACTTGTGAGTAGAAGTGATCCCAATAAGTTCGATCAAAGCAAGCTTTAAGCGTCCTCATAACACATCTGATGGAGAATTGAATGCCTTTACTTTTGTTAAATATTTCGAGCGCTTTTTTTCTAATTATCTTATAAGCGAACAACCACCTCTTTACCTCTTTAGGGAAAAACTCTTAAATTTGCGAAATGAGGATATTAAGTGGAAGTACAAGTTACAATATTAAGTGAATTAACTTATTAGCTGCCCATCATAATGATTAAGAAAAAAAATAATGTTAATAAAATTGTACCCTCTAATTCAAAGGACTCAAAAACATACCCTCGTTGATCTACTCATGCCTTTATTGTTCCTATAAAAACTTAATAGTGTATTGAAGCCCTCGAAAAATTTTTATTAGACGATTTATTTATTCACTAATTTAGCTGAAACATATGTATATAATTATGTAGAATTATAAATTAAACTTTGGAAATAATAAAATTATTCTTTCAGAAACAAAACTACAGACATGAAAAAAGCCCGGCGATGGCTGCTCATAACGGCATGTAAGTACAACAATTGAAATAAAATATAAATGATAACTTATTAGTTTTAATTTTTAAATATTGAAATAAATTTAATTCTAAGTTTTTCAATTCAAATCGATAATAATATTAAAGGGTCACGCCTAGTGTGAATTTAAACAAAGATCGATTTTTTCATATTTTTACAGGTAATACCTTCAAAACAAAAACATGTACTAAAATTTTAAATCGATATCTCAAATATTTTTTGAGTTACCGCCTTCTAAGAAATAGTCGTTAAGTTCAATAAAGTCCATCAGTTCATCTTTAAAAGCGTTTTTCTCAAAACTACAATTTACTTGAGTGATTTTTGGGTGACATATTTTTCTGCTCTGACCAGTAAACTTGCTTGTATCCACAAAAAGGGAATTTCTCTAAATTTGTGATGCGAACATATTTCCCAAAAATTAAGTCTGTCCAATAAAATTTAGGCCCAAAAAATTGTGAATCGTGCTAAATTCAAAAAAAATCATTTAAGAAATTATAAATAGTTTATTTTCAAGCCGTGTTAAATCAAAACCGTGTAAAAAAGATATTTTTTTCTTCAAGCAATGACCTACCAAACACGACAAAAGTTTGGGTAAAATTCAACTTTTTTTAAAACGCCACAATTTAGTCAATTTTGTTTTTATCTCGAAGATAGTTCATTGTACGAACAATATCTTCTAGTAGATCATTTTTTTTTCATTCGTGGAGAAGGCCGAAATCACGGTAGCAGTGGAGAACTTTTTTAGCGCCGTCGAAGATCGCATGTAACTCGAAAAATACTTAATGTTTTGTTTAAAAATTTACTATGTATTCATTAAATATATGGAAATACATATATAGGTATATATATTTAAAATTTAAAGCAATTGATAAAGTGGTTTTTTTAATTCCCAAAAATCGCCTGTAATCTAATGTAACATTAGATGTGCACCATAATATCGTAGTCGGTCACTTTGCTATGGAGATATATGTTGAGTACTAGATCGTTATTATAAAACTAAATAATACAGATTTCTTTAGATCCTGCTAGATTTGGAGATCTGTTGAAGCTCTCATTAAGTCTGTATCTACTGATTTTTAATCTTCTTCTATTAGTTTTTAAGCATTTTTTCTTTAAACCAAATTATGTTTTTGTTATTTTTATAATTCTTTGCATTTCAAATTAATTTTATTTCCAGCTCTGTTAATGCTAGTGACAGACATAGCAGCAGTGGCGCCTTTTAAAAAAGTTTCAATTGCCACAACAACTGCCTCGACGACAACGAAAACAACAACAGCTACAAATGAAGCGCCGAGCAGTGAAGCCACAGTAAATATTTTCTTGAATTACAATTGCTAAATATTTCAACTAAATTGCATAAAAATAAAAAAATGTATTCATATTTAGAATATTTCTATATTTTATGAATATTAATATTTTCAACAAGTTTATTAAATATTGATTTCATCCATACCTGTTTATGTATATTTTTTTCAGTATATAAAATTAACTTGATTATTTTTTCACAAATAACCAACTATGCACTTTTAACTACAAGTACATATTAGATTGATTGAGCTTGTAAAATATTGTTTATCAACATATATGTGTATGGAGGTGTGTACATATATAAATATATATAGTATCTATATAACAAGAATATTTTATTACACCTAGAAATTTAATTGACTTTCATATTTCTATACTCGTATGCACATACAATACTTTTTTTGTTCACTTTTTGTTTTGTGTGCCAATTTCTTCATTTTCCTTTTAAGCCTATCTACTAATATGGAATTCTACGTTCCTTTCTTCACCTAGGTGGCGAAAGTTTTTACTTTTTTCACTTTTAAAGCCAAACATTCTTTTGAATGCCGCTGATATTGCTTGAAAATTTTACATAAGTATATGTGTACAAACATTTCGAATGAGTAATACTTCGAACAGGGGTTTATACTCTTTAATAAATATATTTTAATTTCCTTCAGAAAAAAAATAAAAATAAAAGCAAAAATAGTGATAGAATTATGTACCAACTTTTATTTTTAAAATGATTTTTTTTATAATTAGTAGAAAAAGATAGAAATCTAAATAAAAACGTTTAACATATTTTATTCTGACCCAAGTTTGTGTCTTAAGTCTTTTGTAATCAGCAAGTAGTAAATACATACACATAAACATACACTCATAAGTTTTACATATTTCTTATAGTAGCTTTAATTAGGGTTGCAAATAACACTGGGAAACAGTAGTTTTGTTTTATGAACTTTCTTACCCGATTTTGTATGATTTTGTCACGCTGATTCCAAATCTGTAGTCAGTTTTTCTCTCGCAGCTTTAGTTTTCGAAATACGAACATTATACATTTTTAACCAAAAATACTACAATTTTAGAATTAAAAAATATAATGATCTTACTTAACATGAAAAAAACTTTCTTTTATGTGCTTTATTTGCATGAGTAGAAACATCAGTATTGTTTTGAATGCTTCAGCAGTAATCAGCCATCATATTTACACTCCAACCACCCTGGTATTGCTCTTCCATAGTACGAATATTAATTCAGTTCATGTTTTCTCCTTATCTGTCATACAATCAGTAACATGTTCCTTGTCCTTTATAAATTCCCTGTTTTGAGGACCGTCAAAAATGCCAGTTTTAATTTTTTATGTGCTCAATTTCGGAAATATTTTACTGTTATATTTAAAATAATCATTTCTAGTTATTGTTTAGAGCTTTTACAACTGTTTTATCAGGGTATTCATCACATTCATACTACCCGGTACTAAGTTCACTTGCAAAGGCCAAACTTTTTGATGCCAGTGTTCTGTCTTGGTTTGGCTATACCATAAGCACATGAAACAGCGGTATTTGGTATATCCTCCTTATTGACCTAAAAGAAAATTGACCATTTTAAGATCGGCACATATCAGCCAGTTAATGTCTTCCCAAAGTAGTCCAAATAGGTCTTTTACTGAATCAGACACATTTAATCGGCATTCTCTAAACATATATTCACTAGAAATAGCATAAAAACTATTCGGATGATTTAAATTTCTTCTTATAGTAGACATAGCGGTTTATTTATGAAATTTAGTAATTTTTTGCCCTAAAAATTAATTCTTGTAAGCCGAGTAACGATATTGCAGAGCTGCTACAAAGAAACTGAGAGTAGATTTGAAATCAGTGGCGGCAAATTAGTAAGAAACAGAAATTTCATACAACAAAAAAGTTTAATTTTATTTACCAGCATAATGCATTAAAAAAATAATTGAATAAACATTTAAATTCATTTCTTTACCATGGATTTTTAATCCTGTAATTCTATCATCTTTAATACTCTGCAGTGTTCAAGCAAACATACTAAACAAGATTAAAAATTAAATGATTTAAATTATATACATATGAATGAAATTCAAAATAAAAGTTTTAAAATTTCAAAATTAAATTTTTATTCCGAAACTTTTGGATTAAATAATTCAAAACCTTGGCTTAAACCATTTTATTTTTAATGATAATATTATTTATGTTTTTCTTTTTAATTTTACAACTGCTTTTAACACAAATTTAAGTTTAATTCGAGTTTGCGTCTTAAGTCTTTTGTTAGAATAAATTACTAAAAAATATAAAATATCTATTTTTACTTACTTTTTACCTCGAATTTCAGTCTGATACTTCGGCGTCAGGTCCAACGAAAAACTCCAAGTTAACTGGCATTCCACAAATCGATTATATCTGGGATCCAAATTTACCACGCGAATTGCGTGGGTAAGTTTCGCACGCATTGATGCTTCTACTAAGTTTTAATTATATTTTCTTTTTACCAAATTCACAGTTACAATCTTTCGAGCTACCCATTCTTCTCAACTGTGCCGCCAGAAGATGATATTCACTTCAAATGCGATGGTCTGCATGATGGATTCTACGCTTCCATTGAACATAAGTGTCAGGTAAGTTCAACAATATTGCACCACATAATTATAAGTCATGTACGTATGCAAGCATGTGTGTGTTGGATAGATATTTATACAAGTATGTATAGAAAAGTTATCAAATGAGCGATTGCTGCTGACCTTGACCCATTATCTTATCTTGTGTAACATGTATGTATATATGTAAGTTTAGTTCAAAATAAAATTCATACAAAATAATGAAGCATTGAAATTATCCGTTAATTTATTGAGATAATGACCAAAACTCTTTTAATCTTCATCTATGCAGTAATTTGATTGGTTAAACTGCTGGCTTCAGGTAAAGTGGGCTCAATTTCATTTGAAACCGAAATTATCTCCAACAGCAAACAGTATGATAGTGAAGCTTAACGGTGTTGGTTTGCTGAAATCGCACTAGGGAATGTCTATTAATTTCACGCGTGATTTTGAAAATTACTCGAACCTATTACCTCTGTGCAAATATATGAGACTATAGTTAACTGTTTGTTGTTATGTGAACGCATAAACTTAGTAAATAATAAAAGTACAAATTTGTCTGCTGCCGTTTCGACAGTTGCTAACGCGCTATTGACTATGTCTGTGAACAAGCTGGCGTGTTGATCTTGACCTCAAAGTGTGTGTACCTGCTCACACACTGTTTTTATTTTTATTTTGCTACCTTTCATGCTTAATTATTGTTTTTAATTATGCATTTTGCTAATCCGAATATATTTCACTTTTGATATTATATCACAACAGATTTTAAAATTTTTCTTTCTGATTTTAACATTGAACTTATTGTAAATGTATCATCTTATCAAATTTGAGCTAGACTATTAAGAATTATTTAGATTCTCATTATATAATGTAATATTATTTTCAAATTCGCTGATATTTGGTCAATAAAGACACGCTAACAATTAAAAATCGCATTCGAGTCGCCACTTCTTTGCTTGCTATATTTGTGCTCTATTGTCAAAAAATGTACATGTCAGAGGAGTTATTTAATTGAATGCAATACAAGAGAGTAAGTAGAAGTAGTAATACATCCCTCTCCCCGTCTATTAATTATGTATCCATTTGACTTATGCTAGTTGCTTGATCGATTCGCCAATTTCTATACTTGACTTATAACTACTTCAACAAATCGATTGATGCACACATTCTACGAAAAGTTAACAAAAAAACAAAGGGAACGCAGAAAGCCATTAAAGCATGCAAAAGCGAATTTTTTTGTATGTCTACAAAATTAATATTTTTGGTTTTTTGAGAATGCACAACTTTCTAATAACCAAGCAATATGTTTTCCTCGATGACGAGTTTTATATGCTCTGCCATTTTTTTCGATAATTTCTTGCCTGCTTGATGGTAATTTCATAATGGTATTCTCATATAAACACTCGTCGCTGTTGGCAGAAAGCTTAGGCAGTCGATCTTTACAAGCTTGTCTTGAAGCAAACATTTCACCAGCAAAATCATTCGCCATAGGCAGAAAGAGGTAGTACTCACTTGGTGCAAGGTTCAAACCTAAGAACCTCCTAACCAAGCGTCCGGAGTTTCCGGCCAGTCACTATCGATATGTGTGCCTGACATTGCCTTCATGGCACACAATTTCTCTTCCAATGGTCTTAGTTGTCCGCTCTAGGCTGTTGCTTCCTTCAGATGGGCCAATTGTTGACAGTTTTAAGTAAGAGTTCGATCAATGGTGAGCAACTCTCGTAGTAGATGATTTTTTGCCAAATCCACCAAACACACAACTGGCTTTGCCCCTAATTGCGCAAGCTTACCATGATTCGACCACGATTATTTTGGCTTGACATTATCATAAGTAACCCACATTCTATTACCAGTAACCATCCGCTTCAGAAATGAATACGCGGCTGAAACGCGGCCATGAGGTTTCTTGGCGTTACCTCGTGTTACCGGAAAGCAATCGTTACTAAAATTGTGCGTGTTTTGCTGTTACAGAAACAGAAACATTATGCACATTTTCAGCGACTTGACTTTCTTTTTCGCCTTTATAGTATTTTCTCTTTGCTGGTGTCCATCTTTGACGTGTGTTGTAACAATACTGAATTAAGCAATCACAATATTCTCTAAAAAGTATTTTTAAATAGTACAACATCTTATATTTCTAACTTTTTCTCAAAAATTAATAGATTTCTTTGTACTAAGCCTTGCAATATTACCCTCTAATTCCTCCGACGAAGTAGTCAGATCTAAATATACATATACTATATATCCCTCTAACGCGTTTTTTCTATTTCAGGTATATCATCACTGTGTTTATGGTATCAGGCATGATTTTCTCTGCGCCAATTTTACAGCATTCGATCAGCGGACATTTATCTGTCACTTTGTGTCTGATGTCGACTGTGAAGGTTCGAAGAATTATTGGAATAGGTATCTAAATTAAACTCTAAATAAGTTATATGTTTATCTATAATAACTGTCCTTTCACCACAGAAATGATGATCTCTACATGGCAACAACGCCAAAAACGACGACAACAAGCAGTACGGAGGCACCACCACCAACACCACGTAGACGGTTGGTAAGACCTTTGCGGCCGTTACGACGTCCCGTGAATCGTCGGCCGGTTGATGATTATTACTATGATGAGGAGGAAGAACCGGCGGCAGTGTATGAAGATGATTATTATGAAGAACGTTTGAATCGTCGGCGCAAGCCACGACCACGACAGCGAAAACCAGTCACAGATTATGAAGAAGATTACAGCGACGATAAACCAAGGTAAGTAGAGAACAATTTAACTTTTGAACACAAGCAGTAATCAACGTTTTACCCTCTCTTAAGGCGTCATAATTCGCGCGATCGTTTTCGCGATGAGGAGGAATTGGAAGTGGATTACGATACTGATCGTCGCAAATATGATAGGACCAATACACGAAACAAAGCGTCAGATAGACGAAAAATTGGTGGTCGTAAGTCTACGACAGGCGGGGGTCGTTTAGGTGGCGACGAGCGCCGCAGTTTAAGTGAAGATCGTGCACAGCCAGGACGGAAGGATAAATCGCGCATTACGCCATCAGCAGATCCAGTTGATGCGGCAGATCCCCCACCGCGTCGTCTAAATGGTCGACGTAGAAGTAATGAGAAGCGTGCATCGGCAGCAAACAGCGATGACTTGGATGATTTCGAAAAGCGACCAGCCAATGCACCCGATCAGGAGGAGGCTGCCGAAGAAGAAGCGCCTCCTAAAGTAAAAACGACACCGAAACCATTGGAAGAATTTATCACACCGAAGGCTAGTAGTAGTTCCGTTTACGCACGACCACGAGCACCTCCACGCATAGCGCGTCCGGTGCCGCTGAATGAGAAGAAAAAGTTTCAATATCCCATACAGAAAACTGGAACGACTCCTAGTCCCGAAGCTACACACGCAAGCGCAGATGACTACTATGAGGACGAAGTCTACGATGATGTACGTCCACAACGTGTACCACCGCGTAGACGTGTTGTAGATAGCAAATTAGATGAAGAAGTAGAAGCACCCAATTCGAAGAGACGTAATCATAATGATACACCTCTAATAAAGAAGCCTTCGCGTACAACGATTCGTCGACCAACAACTGAGAAAAAACATGTGTCCACTACAGATGAAGAATACTACGAAAGTGGTGTTGGCGCATCTGATGAACCTGTCGACAGTCATACCAGCAACCGGAAGCGTCCTTTTAGCACGAGAAATCGCAGTTCTTTTGGTCCCGCCATTGGTCGTGGTGCTGAAGATGTCGACTTTGTCGATGATGACTACGAAGAGCGGCCACTGCGGCCGACGCATCGGTTAAGGCCAAAGGCAGCCGCACGCAAAGGTACCAAAAAACCGCGACGTCCAATAGAAGAAGAAGATGTTTACGAGGACGAGCCCGAACCCGAACCACTGCAACGAAATCGCGTAAGTGTAAATCGCGCTCGTATTGGAAGTAACGCACGTTTGCGACAAACCACAACTAGTACGACAACAGCGGCACCAATCGAAGATGCCGCATCTGACATCGAATTAGAAGAGGAGGAGGAGGAACCATCGGCGCCCGCTACATTGAGCAAAGGTTCCGGTCACTCACCCTCGGGACGCACTGCAACGGTACGTGTTGTTAAGCGTCCATTTTTACCATCGCGCGGTGGTAGTCCATACCTGCCACGTGGCCTACAACCGGTTGGTGTGGCTCTGAAGCCACTCAGCTCGCACACAACGGATACTAGTCCCATCGATATGGGTTCTACAATCTCGGGGGTTCGTCTACTTGAACATGGTGCGCCGATATTGCGAGACTCGGGTAGTGCTTCAGGGACCACGCTAATTAATTCTCATTTACATGACTCAAACGGATACGAACGCGAACGGGAACGTGAACGTGAACATGAACGAGATAGAGAGCTACATATAACGCAAACGCATCGTACTACATTGCCACCGCGTAGCGCATTGCCGGCATCGCAGGTGCGACCAGAGCCTCAACCTAAAATTACATTAGATGAGCTCTACGAAACCGACTATGACGTCACGTTGAATGACGCACTCAATCCGACGCTTAAACCGCTTTCGCCGCAACACAGCAATCATGCGACGATTCACAATGGCGCTTTTGAGCATGCATTCGCATCGGAGACGGGCGTCGGTACATTTGTCAATAACAATAAGTCACCCACACTCTATCACAATAACAATAACAATAATCAATATCAGCAACAACAACAACAACAACAATACCAACAACATAAACATCAACAACTAAATGGTTATCAAACTAAATCACAAATCACTCCATCGCTTAGTCAACCACAAACCCATTTTGAACCACAACAAAATTCCAAATCATTACAAACTCAAATTCATCATCAAACCGAACATTTACATGTACAACAACAACAACAGCAACAACAAACTAGACAACAATTACCACAGCAACAACAAAGTGCCTATAATGACTACAATAGTGACGATTCGTATTTCTCATCAACAGATATCCGAAGGCGCGCGGTCGTTGCAGCGCCACAGCCGTATTCCAGCCGAACGGACTACAGGGGCGTCGGCATGAGAATAGCCCAACATTTCTATGATGATTTGGAATACTAAAGGTTAGCATCAAGGGCAATTATGTATTCATCATGGCCACTTTGTTCATAATCACATACATAAATGCTATGTACCTATCCTTAATACATACAAAACAAACATATTTGCATACATACTTGTACATACGGATGTGTGTTTATATGTATTGTATGTCTTCAAAGCATTCATAAGAATTGCAAATCATTTTGCATGCTTTCAAAAATTATTTATTCAGTACTAATTTGATATTTGCATGATTTCGCATTTCACTCATATTCATTAGGTGCTCTCCACCATAGATGAAGCAAGCCAGGCTCTCTATATAAATAGTATATGTCAAATTGACTTAAAGCAATGCAAAATTATCCAAACGCAACTTTGATGTGTACGCAATATATGCCGTTATTATCAATTGCTTGTTGGCATTTGACATAATTAACTTGCCTGTTGATTTTTAAAATAACAAAACTTATTCTGTATAACTTTAATGTGTACATTTCTTTCAATTTTCCAAAAAAAAAAAAAAAAAATACTAAACAGCATTACTTTGCATTGTGCAACTCTAAGCTTTACAAGTTTATGGCAAGAAACAAGCTTCAATAATTATTATTTTGCTCTCATATTTTCGCTCATTTTCGCTCATAACCGCAATATGCAGTTGCGTTGCTTTTTCACTCTTCGCTCATAGAAAATATTTAAATCAGTTTTCGTTTCAAAAAATATTTATGCAATAATGAGAATTTTGCTATTCATTCCACTTTAAGGTCTCTCTAGAAATGTATATAAGTGTATTTAATGACAGCCACACTATACAGCACCACGCACACAAAACTCACAGCACACGCCCAACGACTTGATAACTAAAAATCTTATATGAAAATGTTCACACGTATCGTTTATTCCTTGGGATGTTATGAAAAATACTTGTACTCCGCGAATATCTGCATATCTACATTTTGGAACGCGAAATTAAAGCCGTTGGCAGAGCATAACGGAAGTTAGTTACCCACAGGATATAATATGATGCTGAAAATATGCGGCGTTGCTAGTAGGAGCATCAAATATAATATATATATAAATACATACATATGTATGTGTGCGGTAATAAGTTTTAGCTGATTGTGTGTGTAAACTAAGCTTAAAATTTATAAATAATTAAATACTCAATTTTCGTGATAGCAAAGACAGAATTCTATAAAGTTTTGTCACATAAAATACATACAAACATAATTAAATGAGTTCTCTTTTTATTTCTGTTTTAATTAATTTTTATTTTAATTATTGCGTACACACTTTATACTAAACATATACAAAATGTCTGTTTTCCCAGTGTTTTCGTTTAGTTTTGTGCCCCCAATTCGCTAAATACTTTACTTATACTTTGTAAATTATTTTGTACTGAGTTAAATACAATACAATTGTTATTAAAAAATGGCATAATCTTTTATACTGAGAGATAATGTAACTAAATTGTTCCAAAATAATAGTTTTATGTTGGCAATTTCTAAAATTACACTGTTATAATAGTAATGATAGGGTATTTTCTAAATTTTGGATAAATATATATACTTTGTGTAGCTAAGCGTAAGCGAAAATTAAATAATGCAAAGTGGAAATGAAATTAAAATAAAGTAATATAATATACTGTAAGAGTAATGCTTGTGTCATTTGCTTACTTTTCATGTTTAAATGGTAGGCTATTGTAGGCAGATTTTCAAAGCTTCAGCTTCCTCTTCCAGATAGTCCAATTTCTTCATTAATATAATCTACAAAAAAGGAAAACAACACAATCAATTCACGAGATATATTCTTGAAAAAGGAAATCTGAGTTAATCAGAAGAACGTCAAAGCAAAGAAAGAATATCATATATGTTTTTAAGTCCAAATAAAAAGACGATCGCATCATCACACAGCTCTCCAATTTTCTCAAAAAAATAACGTTATTGCGAATAATTTTGAAAAGCGATTAGAGTGGAAAAATCTACCAGATATTTAGTAGTAGCCGCTGTAAAAAACAGCCTCGAATCGTTGAGATCTTTTATTTTCATGTTCTGAAAAAATTTTAATATACAATACTAACGTAACAAGTACATTTTTTAAACTAACAGAAAATGGAGATTTCGACAAAGAAAAAGCCCACCGACGTTTTTTAAAAAAGTAGTTATAGAAAAAAATACTTTTAATAACATAAGTACAGTGTATGGCAACTGGTAAGTATCAAAGGCGGCGATCATCATTTATGTAGTATGTGAGAGTTTGGGTAATTCGTGGACCAATTTCACATATTTTCGGCATTAAACTATAGTATATCTAATATTTTTATTATTTTTGACGATTTTATTTAGTTTTAGCATTACTACATATTATTTAGAGAAAAAGATGCTCTCTGCCTTTCATTAAGGTACTTTACATACCATCACCAATATATAAGGAATAAAATCAACCAGATATTTGAAAATCCTGATATTAGTTATATGGGGGCTCCGTAAGTTTTCACCCGATTTAATCCATTTTAGGCTGGGGTCCACACCTTTGGTATATGGAGGCTTGAACAGTTATGGCCCGATTTTGACAACTTTTTAACTTGAGTTGACATATCTTGAAGGCTCTATTTTTTGCAAAGTTTTATTTTAATATATTCATTAGTGCTTGATTTGCATACTGGAAAGTCAAAAAATCAGATGGAATTTAAATTGGCGTTTTGTGGGCATTACAGTGGTCCGATTACGCCCATCTACAATAGCCAAGAAACATGTATACCAAGTTTCCTTAACGTATCTCAATTTTTACTCAAGTTAAAGCTTGCACAGACGGATGGACGTACGGACAAACAGACACCCGCCTCTCAATCCTGATCATTTATGTATATAAAGTTAAGTTTGCCATTCTTGGAGCAACAGCTTGCAGCAGGATTGCTCCGTATCCCCCTCATCAGACAAATCAAATCACACCTTTGCTTACCTTAGCTGCTGAGATGATTTCTTTGGCTATTTTCATTGGCATATGCTCCACCGATCTTAGTAAATCAATGGGTTTGCATTTCGCTATATCTTCGACTGTCTTAAAACCCGCATTATAAAGTTGTTTCGCGCGATTCTGAAAATAATAACGGATAATATTATATATATTTTTTTACACAATAATTTCATTTATTTACTATTTTAACGGCTGGCAAATCAAGTAACGCTTCCAACTCCATTGTACCACAACGATCTAATTTTGCGAGGATACGCTCGAAAAGTGATTTATAACACCAAAAGTCATCCAATTGTTCACATAAACGCACTATTGCACTAGCACCAGCGGCAGACTGATTGATTAACGTTTGCAGCATGCCACGTTCAACGTTATAACGGGACGCCACTATATGTATAGGTGTAAGATTTAAAATATCCACCAAAACCAACACCTTATAAAGGCGATTCAATTTCACTTCTAACGGTCCTTGTACCGATAAGGTTTTTGCCATTTTAACAGCAATCGCTTCGGTGAAACCGAGTAGATGGAAGAGTGATTGTGTGGTTTCATCCAACAACATATATGCGCGATAAAGGCTATTAGTGTCAGTTTGGAATAATTCATCACCTTTTGTATTTGAATTGAAACTCACAACGAGATACAACAAGTGTGCATAGTTAGTTAGTATTAATTGATTTTGTGCTAATTTTAATTCGGCATGTATGGCATAGGTCCGTTCATAGTCAATACCGGCTTTAAAGGCCGCACGACCAATATTTGTCAGCTGAAAGCGTGTAGATTTACTAATAAAAAGTCGCCGATGTTCTTGTGATGTGTGATTGGTTGCATTTTTTACATCCTGTGTGGTAAGTATGTTCGATGTATTACGTTGTACAGCTGTTGCTGGTGAGCATAATTCCAGTACTTTATGCTTAAACATTGCACGAATTAATTGAAGCACCATTTGTTCGGTTGAAAGTTTTAGTTGTGGTGCTTGGACAGCTAATAAAGTGCTGCCTACCAGACGATACAAATCCGAACGACAGGCGGCAATTTCCAAACCTATCGCACTTAACATCAAACTCTGTGCGAATGTTGATTAATATTTTAGTAGATATTAAATTTGTAATTAATAAATAAAATTTGCACATACTTGTAAACCAATACAATTGTCGTAGTCCAAAGAAGTGATGGCCTTATCCATAGGTGAAAATAGCATTTCGCCAACACGTACATTGTCACGACTAGTTGTAATTAGAAAACTTTCACCAGCTTCGCCCATGCCTGCGCGTCCAGCGCGTCCGACCATTTGTTTATAGCGGCAGAGTGTCATAAACTCGGCTCCCACATAAGGTGCACGTATTATGACACGTTTTGCAGGTAAATTAACACCAGCCGCCAAAGTCGATGTACAACAGATTACACTTAAGACGCCAAAACGATATGCAGTCTCTATGAATTTCCTTTCATCCATTATCAGACCGGAGTGATGATAGGCTATGCCATAAGGTATAGTCTTAGCTAACACATTACCAAGCACTCCACACACTTTATCCAGTGCATCCATAAGATCCTGCTTTTCACGTTTGCGGTGTTGCAAAAATTTTCTAAATAAATTAAAATGTGTTGAGAAATATTTTTTTTTATTTTGTTTTTGTAAATAAAATACTTGGGTAAAATACGGCTCAACAGCAAAGCAACATTTTCACAGTTTTTACGCGACGGACAAAATATAAGCACGCAGTGTTCGGGCGCACATTCTGCCACCAATCCAGCCAAGTGATCTGGATCAGAACGTGCTACAGATTCACTATACTAAATATTGAAAAATAAATGTAAAATTATAATTACATGCCTTTGAAAATATAAATACAATATATATTTAAATTGTACAATAAAAGATGTTTGCTGATGATTGTTTCGATTGCATCGCTGCTATAACCCTTCACAAATAAAAAAGTATCCAAACCAGAATTTGATTTTAATCGTTCAGTTTGTATGGTAGTTACATGCTATAGTGGTCCGATTTGAATTTTTTTTTTCGAAAATTACAACGTTGCCTTGGATAATAACCCCTGCAAAATTTCGTGAAGATAGCTCGTCAAATATAAAAGTGTCCATACAAAAATTTTAGTTTGAGCGTGTTGTTTATATGATTTAGTGGTCCGATCTAATAATTTTGTTCGGATATTGTAATGTTACTTTGGACAATAATTTTTGCCGAATTTCGTGAAGATATATTGTCCAATAAAAAAATTTTCGTTCTGTTTGTATGGCAGCTATATGTTATAGTGGTGCGATATCGGCGATTTCGACAAAAGATCAGCTTCTTCGGAAAAAAGCGTAGGTACAAAATTTTCGAGCAATATCTCGAAAACTGAGGCACGTCGAACATGGCTAATCCTAATTTATATATGTATAAAATGTATAGTCTTCGATGTTTCCTTCTGAGTGTTACAAACCTCGTGGTAAACTTAGACCCCCCTGTTCAGGGAATACATATCTAGCAATAGCTTACGTTATAATCAACGCTTCGATTGTAAACAAATACTTCTTCTAAAGTTTTGCCTGCCGAGTTTATCGCCAATATATCATTGCCACATTTTATATATTCTCTTAATTCCACTGGCCGGAAACTTCGTGTATATACATCTGCTTTTAAGAAGGTGGAAACCTCGGTTAAATTTCCAATTGTTGCACTCATTCCAACAATTTGTATATTAACTGTAGTAAAGAAAAAAATACATATAAATACGTGTGCAAATATGGAACATTCTAGAAGAGTACTTACCATCTATAAACATAATTTTGGTAAGTAAAGCCTCCAAAGTGGCTCCTCGTCCTTTTTCCCCTATAAGATGTAATTCGTCGACCACTACCAAACCTATTTCATCAGCGCGCTGTGCTTCGATCAAACTGTCCATCAAAACGGCACCCTTTTCAATAGACGCTATAAATATACATTTACGTTTTTTGCGTTTGGTTGGTGGACATTTTCCCTTGCCGGCGGTGTACTCATCCACAATAAAGTTCATGGCTATAGCAAACGGGGACATTGCACTGACCTAAATTGAAGTATTGAAATATTTTCATATTCATAATATATAAATTACGAATTCGTCGTTAACCTTTTCTTGTACTATTGAGACGTAGGGTAATATAAATAGCACATCCTTTTCGCGGCATAACACCTCTCGTAGCATTAATATTTCAGCAACTAGTGTTTTACCACCACTTGTTGGCAAAGCGTATATTAAGTTTTTGCGGGTATGAATGGCTGGTAAATTTAAGCATTCTTCTTGCCATTCTTTAATAGATACGTAATTGCTATATTATTCACATAACTAAAACAAAAATTACTAACCATATAAGTTTTGTATACCCTTATGTGCGAATATCATTTGTTTAACCCTGTCTGGTAATCCAAAAAAATCTCCTTTACTAGGAAAATTATTTTCCAGTTTATCAGAGAATACTTGGGAGTCCCAGTCCAGTCGTGAAAGATTCGTCAGAACTGTCGTATTTGCCAAATCATTGTTTACCATGTATTGGCTTGCAGAAATAACAGTATCCGTGGTTTCTTCATTATTTACTTTTCGTTTAATAGGCGGTGGTGCATTTGGAATCTTGAATATTGCAACATCATTTAGAAATCTTTGAGAGTTTTGTACTCCTACGGTATCAACTATCAAATCAGTGAAGAGTTCATTTTCTTCGTCTTTTGTCAAATCTTCAATTTTAATATTTTCAACGAATGTATCATCTATCTTTAACTGCCTTTGACTTCCGTCAATTTGTTCGCTATGCAAATTAATCGTATTAAATATGCTGTCGTCTACATGAAAGTTGTTGCTATTATCTGTGTTTATTATGATAGCATTTTTCCCCGGTGATTTATCTATGCTTGGGTGATTGTTAGGACTACCAAAAAGCTCAAGAGGAGTTTCATTAAGCAAATTTTCCATCGCGGAAACAGTTAGGTTGTCGGTGGTTGTATTGGAAAATAAACGATCTGTTTCAATTTCATACTGAATACTTTCTTTACAATTGGACATGACATTATCCAAGACAGACTTTGACAAAAATGTGTCTTCTTTGAAATCACTTATTTGGAAACTACTATTCGTCTGTAGTGCAAGTAGTGTTGATTCCCGATTTATATCCATTGTCAGCTGCGCGCAAAACAAGCTAGTATCATTTTCAAGGGTCTGTAAAACTGAATTACTTTCGACTTCAAGTACATTAGAAGCGTCTTTATAATTATTCGCAGAGTTTAGTTTCGAAACTGTAAAGAAGCTGTCCTCCTCTTCATCTGACACAAAAAGATTTTCGGTTTGATGTACACTGTTCTTAAAATTTGTATCCAGACATTTTCGTTTAGTTATTTCAGGAGAGCCCCATTTCACTTTTCGTACGTTTTTCGACATTAATGTCAATTATGTAAAAGAAATGTTGCTGGTATATATTATTTAAATGCTAATAAAAATCAGAAATGATTACACTATTCTAAGTTAGTTATCTATTTGAATTCGCGCGTTTTTTTAAATGACTAGATGTATGTAAATAGAAAACATATGGAAATTGACGTATGAAATGTTTGACGACCTTCTAATACAGCTAAGAATGTACAGTAATACCACAATAAAGTGTTCCTAGTCGCACGATAAATATTTATTAGTTATGTTTTATTTGTTAATAATAATTAGACAACAAAATTAATACATAGAAATTCGATAAGTACCAATAACAATGGCAAAGTATATAATTTTGAATAATTTTATTATAATTTTCTGATGATTTGGCGGGTGTGAACGGCAACAACATTATTCTGTGTTACCAAATCAATAAAAATTTCAAAATAAGCAAGTGTTTCCCATATTTTGTAAAAGCATAATTTTCTTTGTCACTTCCTTTGTCTCTAAGTTTCCTAATTTTCAACTGTAAAAATAAAAGTCAGTTGAATAAAGTTTGAAATTAAAACTGATTATAATAAAAATAATAATATATAAGCATATTAAGTAAGTCTCCAGCAATTACTTTTCTTTGATTTTAAATAATTAAACAAAACAGATATGACGTCGAGAGACGGAGTTTTCTCAGGATCGCCGCCCAGTTTTGCGGACTTAACGGAAGCAGTGAAGAAAATAGAAATGCTAATTGCAACAAAAAAATTGGTATAATTGACCTTGAAAACAATAATTTGTTTTAATAGATATTAAAAATGCTTATTTTTTTAGAAATCTAAGTTATTTTATGATATGCTATTGGGATTTCGTATGTTGGAGGAGGCACTGCAACATAAGCAGTCGGAAGCTTACGAGCTGGTCATAACTTGGGCTAAACTATTTTTGGTAAGTGAAAATAAAAAAATTATAGTTTTATTTAAAAAAATACAAATGTCACATTTTTATACTCTATTAGAAAATTCAGTCTAGCATTACAAATCAACATGATGGAATTCGCAAACAATTTGAAAAAGTAGTGCCTCCCGCAATTACATATATTATTGGTTGTTTGCAATACAAAACTAAGACTATAATCTCTTATCACTACCAATTATTGGAAATGATACATGAGTTATTACTTAACCTACGACCGGGAGTTCTCGAAAAGTTGGCTACATTCGAAACGGGTGTTATGTATGTACAATATACCATATGTATTTAGCTACTTGATGTTAAGTTAATAATTCGTTTGTGTGATTTTCAGAGCTTGCGTTTGGTTTCCCATTGGATTTGTTGGTGATTTTAACACACAATTGTTGGCATTGCGTTTATTGGCAATGTTATTAAAGTGTGCAGATTCAACGCGACAGCAAAGTGAACTCAATAGTATTCGCTGCGCAGACAAATCCGTTTTAAAAGATAAATTAACTGCAGCTATAGCTGTTGCCAATTTTCATACTGCGAAATTTGAAAACGTAATTTAAATTTATGTTATCGAGTAATAGCGTTAAGTTTTTTTAGAAACAAGAAGAAAATTCAAATTATTTTTTATTGAAAATATAATAATTATATTTTTAGACTGCAAGGGATCTCTTGAATACTTATAACATGCATTTGGCAAAAAACATTCTTGTTTATTCATTTCGGTGCAAATCATTCAAGTTTGGAGAAAATATAAATTTTTTCAAACCTTTGGTAAGTTACTTATGTACATATATCAGTAGTATAAATATGTTTCAATAATTAATTATTATTCGTAGAATGTAGAAAATTTTTGGATAGACTTTAATTACTGTCCACGTACCCTCTCGTTCAATGGGCGTTGCCAAACAAATACCAAAGCAATATATACAAACTGTTCTGCGAGCTTAAAAATTACTAAGTTGTCACTGTAAGTTCATGCCATAATCGATTAAGAAATTAAATTATTTATTTATTTACGTTTCATTCTTGTTGCATATACAATAAATAGCAATAATTTAACCCTCACTGTGCATTTTCAAGCACCAGTGCAAATTTTTAAAGAAACTGGTGACTTACCCGATATAAGTCAAATTACAACAGCTAAAATCATTATACCAAGGGATGAAGCTATGCGTTTATTGGAAAATGAATTCATATTGAAATACTTTAACGAATCCCATCTGTCGAATCTACACAACAGAATTTCATCATTTGTTAAACCACTTAATATATCCACGCCACTATCAAGTACTGAAAAGACCGAAAAGACGATTGGCAGCAAAACAAACATGGCATCCACTTTTAAAGGCACAAATGATTATCGCAACATAGAGAACAAGGAAAATATTTCACCTGAAGAACACACACAAATATCAGTTAATCGCGGTAAATCCGGCTTAACCAAGAATAATTCATAAAATATTCCCGTATTTTCTTAATTTTTTAGACACTAGAAACGGAACTTCAAACAAGAAAACAAGTTCAAAACAATTTCAAAAAAGTTATGAGATTTTAATAGGCCTACCTAAGGGTAATAACGAAAAAACTAAAGGAAATCGCGAACTCAGAAATACAAAGAATGAAACTGCAAATTCCAAAGAAAAAATTAATTTTCAATTGCCACATTTACCAGAGTTAGAAAAGGAATTTGATCATGAACTGTCAAAAAACACACGTAGTCGTAGTTCTCGAAGAAAAATAGTAAACTACTCAACATCCACTTCAGAATCACAAATACCTACAAACTCTTTAAATGAAAATGTCAAACAACCGCGGAAACGCTTCTTTAAAACTCAAAAATCCAACTCCGACACTGATTATATTCCCAGTAAAACAAAACGAATTTCACGACCACGAAATTCCAGGTTTGTATTAAGGCATGATTAATATTTTATTTATTGTTTTTTTTTTTAGTTCTTTTGCTAATTAATTACTATTAATACGCTATTTTTGATTGCAGAAACACAAAGCAGAAAAGTTCTAATACTTCTATAAATAAGATGAAAAAAATTAATGAAGTGAAGCCTATGTTATATTCGAACCAAGAATTTACGAAAGTTGTTGCAAACACATGTACGAGTCACTTCGCTGATGAAGTTAGTGCTAATTTAAACCATCACATCGACAATAGTAGAACAAATTCCACAATAGTAGAACAGTTATCCAATTTAAATACGAATATTTATGAAGATCTAACCGTAAGTGATGCCGAGCCAGGACAATCATATCGTAACTTTAGAATTCGGCGTAATCCGTTTGACGATGAAAATACTAAGAACGAAGCAAAACGACCTCGAAACTCATTACCACGTAGTATTAAAAAAAAGGGTCAACTTGTCGGCACCAACCTCGGGTCCATCAAACCCGGAGCAAAGAAAACGCTGGTATGTATTAAAGCTCAACGAAAATAAGAAAAGTTCTATACATATGTGTATAAACATACAAAGATGTTTTAAATAATCTGTATTACTTTTTGTTTATTTTAATAAACTTAAAAAAGTTGTCTTTCCTATTTTCCGAATGTCTCTTTAACTACTAATTAGTAGTTAGATTAATCAGTTTACATATATTCGACCTAACCTATTTTAACCGCGAAATACGTAAGAAAGACAAATTCGCAGCTAATTGCAGGAATATGTTTACTAAGCTTTATATCTAAGTTTATTAACTAATCTTTAACGCTTAACTGTTCAAATTTAAGTTAGTTTCATCATACCCAAAACAGGGTATATTAAGTTTACCACGAAGTTAGAAATATGCAGAAGCAGCCTCGGAGACCCGATATATATTGTATAAATACTATATGTATATATATATATATTATATATCAGCATGACGAACTGAGTCGATTAAGCTATGTTTGAACTAGTCCCTCAGTTTTTGTGAGGTGATTTAGCTTCTGTGCAAGTCATTAATTTATGTATATGCAACTTATAAATATAAACTTGTGTATAATGTGTATTTTTTCATAAGGATCCGAAAAATTTGAAGATAACCCAATCAAAATTTCAAAATCCGGAAAAAGCAGCATTCACAAATAAAAACCCAACTGTTTGTTCAACGGATATAGATTTATGCCCGACAACACAGCATACTTTAAACGATGCTGTCGGTCGTAAACGCACATTATATAACACAGAGACACTCAACGCAGAAAAGGCTATGCAATTAAACAATACTGAAAGAAATGAATATGAAATATCCAAAACGTTCGTTCAAATGCTTAAAAAAGCGTCCAATAATGATGCAGTAAAAGCGATTGAAATCAGTAACAATTTGTCTGTGCCAGCAATTGCTGCTGATGTGAATGTAGAAGATCAAGTTGATGACATACAGGATTGCCGTCAGGATGTGCGCCAAGTTGACATTGATGACGTATGCGACTATGAGGAATTTAGTGATTTTCCGACCTTTTCCACTCTATTGGATATTTCTAATATATCCCAATCGCCTGAACGTGAAACGAATAAGGATTTAGCGCAAAAAACTACACAACAGGCTGGCACTAGCTTGACACTGCCTACTAAACCAAAATCTCCAGCTCTAATAGATTACGCAAACAAATCGGAGTCGAAAAAAAGTATCATATATTGTTCGCGATCTGAAAACGATAGTGATAGTGAGCAATCCATAATTTCAAATAACAATAGAGAATTTTCGCTGACACAACCTTTGGAATTGCCTTCAAAAGGACAGCAACATGTGTTCTTAACGCCACAATTACCGTTACAAAATTTTCGAAAAACCACCAGCGTTACCAAATGCCAAGTCACCACCACCGGAACGTCGGTAATCACACAGCAAGATAGTTTTATACATCAGCGAAATTTTGTAGTAAATTTAGCAGCTTCAACGAATACTCCACTTAATCTCTCAAAAACTAGCTCAAGGATTACAGCAACAACCACCACCAAAGCCGTGGTAGAAGAAAAGTGCCAAGTTAACGTGAATAGTCCCATACAAAGAAACGAAAGTCTTACCGCACCAAAACCAAAAGCACTCTTACAAGGTATTTTATGGTAGAACAACTTTTCATACTATATTATAAAATCTTATATAAAATATATAGCCAATTAAATTAAAATATTTTTTTATAGGAAATTCACTTAGTTATAGGTTATACTATAGATATCATCTTTATTTTACAGAGTCTGCGGATATGATTACCTCTTATAAAAATAATTTAAATCTACACTTAGACCAGATTGAGACAAGTATGAGTTCGAATTCAGCTAACGTATATATTGAAAAAATTTGCGATATTGGCGAAAGTATGATAAATGAAATAGAACGCGAACGAAAATCACTGTGGGAACTGGAAGTCAACGCTGAACGACTCGCTCGTCAACTAGGTTGGCAATATGAAGCTTATCAGCGAAAACAACAACAATTTCAATGGTAAATTTTTTTCACATTAATTTTTCGTTGTAGGTTATTATCCTAATAACAATGTTTTTACAGTTTTAAACAAAATATTGACGATCTTTTACGTATATTAAGCAATATAAATTTATCGGAAGAAATTGAAAATGATGCCAAGCATAAAATTGCGAAACTCCTCCAAACATCTAACTATATAACTGGCCAAGAATGGCGGAATTTCGTAAATGAAAGCACAGAGAATTTGCTTAAAGATATTTCCTCATTATCCAATTTATAGAATTCATGTTGTATACTTGTATATTGTATTTAACATTTGGAAAATTAGTAATCAATAAAACTATTTAAAAAATTTTAACTTTCCTTTTCGTTAACAACCAATTTTAACATAAACAAGCCCAACCAGTCAGTTTGTATGGAAGTTGTTGTTGTTGTTGTAGCGGATATCTAATCTCCGCTTAGGTGGTCAGGTTGAGCATGCAAAGAGGTGGTTAGTGTCATGCGGAGACTCCTTGCATGCTGGACATATATTTGTAATGCCGGGGTAGATTTTGGATAAGTAGGAGTTTAACCTGTTACAGTACCCAGACCGTAGTTGAGTAAAGGTCACTCTTGATGATCCTAGGAGACGGTTCCGCTTTAAGCAGACGATTGCAGGGGTGGTTTCTACGAAAACATCGCAGCCGAAACTGCTTGGAGAGGAAGCCGTTGTGTTATTTAACCGGAAGCACATGGGCTTCGCTATGTACATAGGTGTTGGACCGGAGACATCAATAGGCATTCCTTGGTAGTCCGGACTGCAGTGTTTTGCCATGTTTGAAACTTCTTCGTTTGTGCTGTACTACATCCAGGCGACCATATCGGTGCGGCGTAATTTAAGACAAGGCAAACGACTTGAGGATTTTTTTGCGGCTTTGTACTTTGGCAGATATCGCAGAAGGGGATGTGAGGAGTGAATGAGCACAGGTTACACCTAAAGCCATCGACTGTAATGTTTAGATCCAGTCTGTATTTCTTCGTCCAATGAATATGGTCGCTGTGGATTGTGTGGAGGAGAGTGTAAAGCTCCTTGCAGAGAAGAAGCGAGAAAGGCCGGAGAGCCGTTTACTTTTGAACACATACTATCGATTCCATTGCCCGACGTCAATATCGTACAATCATCAGCGTACGAGGTGATGGAAGTTCATTCGGGTGGTTGGGGGAGTTTCGATATGTAGAAATTAAACAGTACAGGACCCTTATTAATTCTTCTTAGTTTAGATTTTTACCTCGAAACAGTATGCTTTAGATAGTTCACTGCTTCAACCCTGGAGGGAGCATGGATTCTTCGGTGCCCTCAAGTAGCGTTGTGTGATTGACTGTATCAAAAGCTTTTGACAAGTCTAACGCTACGAGGATCGTCCTCTCACAGGGTGGCTTCTGGTTTAGGCCATGAACTATTTGGACGTTTATAACGCTAAGTGCTGTGCACTTTTCGGCAGCCATGCTGGTGGTCTGCTAGGCTCAGGTGGTGAGTAAATATCGGGAGTAGCAAAGCATCACGTGTCTCACAATTGGCGAAAGGAGAGTTATCGGACCTCCCAGGTTTCAATGGTGGGACCGATTTTCCACACATCGGGTATTTAAAGAGTGGTCAGCGAGAGGTTGAGGATCTTGGTTAGGAAACTTACTCCCGTCAAGCCTAGATGCTTTAGCTTCAGCATGTTAATTCCATCAGGTTTAATTGATTTGGATGATTTTGCCTTGTTAATGACACTCCAAACCGCCTCATCATTAAAAGTAAGTGTTTAGCATAGATCACCAGGTTATGCTATTTATCAGACCACCGCTAGCGATGGAACTATCCGTCGAGCAATTACAAGTGTTCATAATTCTGGTGCGGGCTTTGTCATTCATTGTGCTGAATGTCGAATGGTCTATCTGTTTCGCTCTATTACCCTACTATCGTTTGGCAGGCAGGAGTGCCAAAGATCGTGGTGCGCGTTAAAGGCCCGAAGTATCAAACGCTTTTCACCACGAAGTAGCCTATATTCGGGTGGTATCCTGTTAGGCAACATGTAACAGGGCTATTCCCAGTTTGTACGGCAGCTATATATTTTAGTGGTCCGATCTGAAAAATGTCTTCAAAATGTCATTCAAAATTTAGTGAACAAACAAACGTTTCGTCAAACAAAAAAGTTTTCCACACAGGGACTATATTTGCATCGATTAGTTTGTATTGCAGCTATATGCTACAGTCGTCCGATTCGGGCAAATCCGACAAATGAATAGCTAAGAAGAAAAGGACAGGACTGACTTCATAGTCTCTGACGTTTCTTTTTGGGTCTTACAAACATCGTGTAAAACTTAATATACCCTGCTTAGGATATAAAAATAAATTACATTCTAAAACAAGTAAACAACTTCTTTATGGATTTTTCGCAACATTTCATATAATTTTATTAAGACGAAATTTTAACAATTATTCGTTTCTTACATTTAGCAACTTTAATACCTCCTCTTTATACCTTCCCAAATTGTATTCATTTTCGCCTTCATTTATTAGAAGTTCTACGGTTTGTGCAAAATCTTGACTGACTTTTAATTTCGCGGCATCAGTAGGTATACTCCAATTTATTATAGCCTCTGCCGTTTGTTTTGATTTATTTCGTTCAAAACTATAATATTCCATATCTGCTTCCGATTTGCTATGTTCCCATGGTTCAGTAACAAATGATTCGTGATAGCAAGCGGTTAACAAATACATTGCATAGTCATAGTTTTGTTTCCTTAAAGGACATCTATCCGCCACAATTGTAAGTATACCGGTCTTCGGGTTGTAACGATCACCAACTAAGCGTAAAAATTTATCCTTTGCATGTGCGTCAAATTTTAAATCTGACAACTTAATATTTAGTGTTACACGCCGAGCCTCTGGATTGCGTATGGTGGGTAGAGCATGACAGTAATCTGTACTTTTAACTACGATAGGAAAATGTTTTTCCCATTTTTCCGCGGTCTCTAAACCTTTAGGCCATGGTGTACAAAATTTTTTCAAAGCTTCGCATTGTTGACGAATGGCCGGTGGGGTTAAATGTAGAAAATTTGGAATTTTCATAAGCTCCGCATTGGCAAATTTAGATGGAGGTGGTGCACCCTTTTCTGTGTAACCTTGACGCAAAGGCAACGGCACACTACTTGGTTGAAATGTACGTGGACCCGGCCACACAGCAGTCCAATCCTGATCTGTTGCCATTTTGAGGTGACGAGGCGGCAGCACTGCTTCTTTTTTGAATACACGACGTTTCTGTTGTTCTGTTTGCTTTGCGGCACGCAAGTTGAGGACACGAAATTCTTAAGCAAACAAATAATAATTTTTATTTATATTTTATATTTCAAAATACTTTACAATTCTAACCTTCGTCGTTAAATTCATGCTTGCTACCAGCTGTTGGTTCTTCTTGCGTCTGACTGTATAGTCGTCTACCTGCTGCTGTGCTGGAATTACGTAAATTCCTCTCAAGCAGACGTGTTAAAGATGCCATTTTTGCTTACAACCGACCTCTCGTAAAAATCGTTAAACTATTTCACTTACAAGTTATGCAGTCATTAATTTTTTCAGTTAAATTTGCTAAATTTTAATGCCGTAATAAAATTACTGGCACTCAAAAAGAAAACATGTCAAAGAATATACACCAGTGTTGTCATGTTGACAATTCGAAAAGTGTTGCCAGAAACGTATATCATAATCAGAGAACGTATATCATAATCAACAATTTTATACAGATAATTTTACATAGATATATGCGTGTAAATATAAATCAATGCGCGCACATTAAGTGTATTGATAAGTGATAAAATCAGAGAACGTAAATGAATAGAGAAGGAGCAAATGTTAAATGAAATCTTTTTGAGTACTAATTTGTAATTCCAGATGAGGGAACATCGAAAAATATAACTTCGAAAAAGAAAAATACACCACACAATATGCGAAATGCTATAAATAGACACAACGAATATTCCTAAATGAAAAATCGTTGCGCATACCTATTTAGATTTATTTTTTCAATTTCTATGATATGATAAATTTATAATTATAAAAAGCCTTCTGAATTAAAAATCTGTATTACTGGTAAAAACCCCGGAATTCATAATAAAATAAACATTTAATAGGCTATTTTTCCAACTTATGTATGGGCGTTGCGTGAGTAATTGCTTATTGAACAAAGCATAACAATAAAACGGTGACTAAGCGGCCGCGTTTCCACTTTCGGGTGGCTGAGGTCGTAAGCGGGAAGGGGTTAAGCACAATCCGAATACGAACCTATACGTTCGAATCCTAAAACTCATGAAACTGAAATTTTATTTTATTAATTGGAGTCTAAGCATATCATAATTCAATTTCTCTAATAGCATATTTTACTTCCTGATATAATTAAATTATATCAGGAAAATATGTTCATAAGATTAGGTTTATTGAATATTTCCTTATTATGCGTATTTACACAAATGACAAATGTGATAATCACACATACATTCTTAAATACACGTACGCAGATGCTTGCTTCTTCTTGCCCCGCACAAGCAATGACTTTTGTCTACGCTTTTTGCGAGTTGAAAGATCGCAGGCAAGGAGGGATTGGGGCGCACTGCCACATAATTATTTCAGATATATATTTTATTTATCGAATTTAGTTTAAAAACGAATATAGGTATGAATTTATGGGTATTTATATATATATATAATATTAGGTAAAGTAAAAAGTTCGTTCGGTTTTTATCTAAGAGATGGCGTTATTGTCCATAGTATAAGGGTTACGTGTCGCATCATGTCATACTATACGGCGCTAAAAACGTGTTTATTCGTGCTAAAAGTTTGTCTTTGACAGTTTTTCGATTGATTGACTCAGTACGTTGTGAGCGCTCGTCAAAGATGGACACCAACAAAGAGAAAATTCGCTATATTTTACAATTTTTCTTCGATCAAAGCGAAAAAGCAGCCAAAGCGGCTGAAAACATTAATTTAGTTTACGGGCCCGATACTGTAAACGAACGTGTAGCACAAAAGTGATTTGCAAAGTTCCGGTAATTTCGATGTCAAAGATGCACCACGCGTCGGGAGGCCTGTCGTCGAAAATTGCGATAAAATCATGAAAATAGTGGAAACAGACCGTCAAGTGAGCACTTATTTAATTGCTGAGGAACAAAAGTTAAGCCAGAAAACCGTTTGGAACCATTTGCATAACCTTGGATTCAAAAAGAAGCTCGATGTTTGGGTGCCACACGAACTAACGCAAAAAAACATGATAGACCGAATTCCCATCTGCGAATCGCTGCTGAATCGCAACAAAATCGATCCGTTTCTGAAGCGGATTGTGACTGGCGATGAAAAATGGGTCACTTATGACAACATCGAGCGCAAACGGTCGTGGTCAAAGCTCGGGGTAGCGGCCCAGACGGTAGCCAAGACCGGATGGACGGCCAGGAAGGTTTTACTGTGTGTTTGGAGGGATTGGCAAGGAATCATCTACTACAAGCTGCTCCCCTATGGCCAAACGCTCAATTCGGCCCTCTACTGCCAACAACTGGATCGCTTGAAGGCAGCACTCATCCAGAAGAGGCCATCTTTGATCAACAGAGGCCGAATTGTGTTCCATCAGGACAACGCCAGGTCACACACGTCTTTGGTGACGCGCCAGAAGCTCCGGGAGCTCGGATGGGAGGTCCTAATGCACCCACCTTATAGTTCGGACCTGGCACCAAGTGATTACCATCTTTTCCTGTCCATGGCGAACGCACTTAATGGTGAGAAGTTAGCCTCAAGAGAGGCCTGTGAAAATTGGCTCTCCGAGTTTTTTGCCAATAGGGACGCAGCCTTCCACGAAAGGGGTGTAATGAAGTTGGCATCTCGGTGGCAACAAGTTTATGAACAAAACGGCAGATATTTGACTTAAATCGGACAAATGCACACAAAGTTATCATCTTTTGAAAAATCAATAAAAAACCGAACGAACTTTTTACTTTACCTAATATATATTATATTACAAAAATAATTCATAAATGCATCAGTATTTTTCAATACAAATTAAGCAACATAATAATATACTCCTCTGTGCATGGATCTATGCCTCTGTGTATGGTAGCAAGCCAACAAAATAACGGCGAGTTCGCGCAGACATTGTGTTGTTGAAAACAAGCAAATGACGACTTTGTCCACAAACATACATATGTATATACACATATACATACATATATGAGCTCGCATACATATTGACACTATCAGATATTTTTTTATAATCTTTTTTTATTTTTATAACCCTTTTTTATTAAATGATATTTTAATTCTATTTTCATATTATTTCCCTCATTATTTATATTTTCTTGTTAGAAGTCAATTTCTTCCGTTTTTATTACTTTAATTTTTGTTCATGTGCATACCAAAGAACATCTGTGCATATGTATGTGTATACATTTTGCTTATAGAGTGGTGTAGTTTCGTTGCGTAAATTGATAGGATGGTGAAATTTTATTTTCGAACTTGCGCGTTTTCGATGTTAACTCATCTTAATTAACATTTTAGTACAGCTAACATTTGCTCCTTCTCTATTCATTTACGTTCTCTGGTAATATCAAAGCATAATTTTCATTGAATTCTCAGCTCTGTTTACGCGCCACTGTTAAAGTTTCTCCTTCCGAGCGAGATGTGGTGAAATTCACTAATAAAGTCTTGTTAGGTTTTGACAATTCACACGCTGGTCCGCAATTGAACCTTCTCTATGATATACGTTCTCTGATACAACGTGGCATTCTCTATGATATACGTTCTCTGATACAACGTGGCATTCTCTATGAT